GTGGGAGCGGGGGGATGGAGGTGGGAGCTGTGGGATGCAGACAGGCTGGGGATGAGTTTTCCCTGGGGAGCAGCTCCCATCCTGTTGCCCCTGAGGTCTGGAGATGCAGCCTCCCACTGACTCTTCCTCCATCAGACATGCACCAGTGCCTTACTGGGATATACTGGGCAAAACCCTGTGCTGAACACCTCTACTGGGCACAGGGACACCCCCAGAGTGACCATGCCACGCTGCTGCAGGTCACAGTGACTCACCAGAGGCTCTTCAACCACCACCTGCTTCACGTTGCTCTCCATGGCTGCTGCTTCCTCTTCCTCCTCCTCCTCCTCCCAGCCCGGGCAGCAGTGGGGGCAGATGGCTTTATACTGGGGTGCTGGGGTGGGGAATGGGGTGGTCCTTGTGAAGGAGCTCATGGTCCTGGTGTGTCCTCTGAAGCAATCCACTTCACTGGTGTTTGCTGACCACCTTCCCCAGGGCTGGACTCCCCTGGGAACCTGCTGCTCAAGAGGCTCTGAGGACACTTGTCCCCAAGCACGGGGACCTCTCTGGTGCCCCAGAGCGAGGTGTCAGGGCCAAAGCAAACCCTCCTGTGTGGGGCAGAGCTGCCCTCCAGGGTGGAGCATCCGGCCAAGGCGAGACCCGGTTCGGTGCCCGTGTCCCTTTGCCAGCTCAGGCACCTGGAGCTGCTCAAGGTGGGCAAAGCATCAAAGCTTTCCCACAGATCACAAGGTTGGGGTGGCAGTGGGGTCACCACGGGTTGGGGACATGTCCCATGGACTGGGTGCTCTGCACCCTTGGTCCCAGGGATGCTGGGGCACCATAGGGTCTGGTGTTGCTGGGGCTTTGGGGGGCTGGTAGAAGTGCCCATGGTGCAGATTTGCTCAGGGTGAGGGGGGTCCCAGATCTGATGTGTCACCCTGTGTGATGCCATCAGCAGGACAGGGTGACACTGCTGCCCCCTGATCTTATCTGGACATGAGCTTCTTCCTGCAGTTGGAGGAGGCTGGGACCCCTCCAGCCACCCTTGGGCTCCCTCCTTGGTCCCCTGGGACCCCAGATGCTTGCAGCTGGGTGTGGGGGTGTCAAGGAGCATGGAGGACCCTCAAGTGGCTCCTGGCTGTTTGCTCTGTGACACTGTGCTCAGGAGAGGGGACCCTTATCACCTTCCTCAGCTCTGTGCACCCTTCTCCACCCAGCTCCTTGCCAGGGTAACGCAGGGTCAGGGGTTTTTTGGGGAGCAGAGCTGCCACCCCCATATCACCATGTCCCCATGTGCAGTTTCCCTCCTGTTCCCAGCAAAGCCTCAGCCCCTGGGAGCTGTCACCCTCCTCACTGCACGTGGTGGTGGCTCTGGGGACAATCCCAAAAGGTTTGCACTGCTGGGGGGCTGGTTTGGGTCTGCCCCAGTTTTTTTCCCCCTCCCAGCCCTGTTGAACTCCCATTTTCTCTGGTGCAGCACTTGGAGATGTCCTCCAAGGATGCTCCTGGCTGCTTTGGGGTGGCAAATTGGGGGGGAGGGGAGCCAGGAGCAAACACATCGTGGTGTCTATGGATGCCCTGCTCAGCCAAGGGCTTGCCTCTCACCAGGGATGTGGCACAGTCCCTTTGTCCCCATCTGCACGAGGAGGGGACAGGGATGGGGATCTCTCCTGGAGGGGTGGCCCAAACCTCACAGGGGGGTTGGATCTGGGTTGGATGAGCTGCCTGTGCCCAGGGGATGGAGATGCAGAAGATGCTCCTGCCATCATCCTCCTTCCACACAGATTGGGAGGGTGGGATGGGGACACCAGCCTGGGATCATGGGATGGGGACACCAGCCTGGGTGTGCAACGTGGAGGGACACACCACTGCCCCATGGAGTGGGTGTCTGAACCCTCCTGTGCCCCTCACCCAGGGCTGGACCGTGGACACTGACACAAGGGATGTGTCTACCCACAGCAGACCCCACAGGAGACACCCACCCCTGGGGCACCCTGGGAAGGGTGTTTGGTGGGTGCAGGGGGTGAGGAGGAGGAGGGCAGGGCCGGGAGGAAGGGCACAGGCTTTACTTTGAAGACAGAAACGTGAATCCCAACGCAAATCCCGCTCGTTTATTGCAAATAAACAGCCATGGGGACACCGTGGTGCTGAGCAGCTGTGGATGGAGAACCCCAACCCCTGGTGGGTCCCCCCAGGATGGGGCCGGGGAGGAGGAGAGATGCTCAGGAACTGTCTTGCCAGCATCTCACCTGGAAGGCAACGTAAGGAGCGTGGGGACAGTGACATCCCCATCTCACTGTCCCGTCCCCAGCCGGTGCTATGCCCAGTAGATGGGGACGGTGCTGCAGAGGATGTTGATGGTGGTGCCCAGGATGGAGCGATCAGCCAAGGGCATGATGTTGTCCCCAGCCTCCTTCATCTCAGCCTGAAGGAGAGAGATCAAAGAGGAGCTGCCATCCTTGGCCACCAAGTGAACACTTGCCACAAGCCCAGTAGCCCCACACTTGTCCCCAGTCACCCAGGGCACAAGGGTGGGCTGTGCAGACCCTCAACCCACCCAAACACGATGGCCAACACTCACCTGATGGTGCTGGAAGGTCTCGGTGACAGTGTCCAGCCCTGGGATGTTGTCCTTGTCCATGCGGGTGATGTAGCAGGCGCGGTGACTCCAGGACCTGTAGCTGACCAGCAGCTGTTTGCAGATAGACCTGGGTCAGCTCAGCTTTGTCCCCTCATCGTGCCCTGTCCCCCCCCGTTGTGTCCCATCCCTGAAGCACCTTGCTGTAGTCATACACCACCACGGCCGAGGCGTTGAGCCCATCCCGCACGGCGAACGTCCCTGTTCTCTCCTTCTTGCTCATGGTGAGGTGTTGGGGGGTCCCTTCACCATCCAAGCTATGGATGGTCATTCGTAAGACCTGTCAGGTGGAAGAAGGGGGTCAGGGAGGTTTGAG